AAGGAAGTAGCTATCTTCAAGAAGCCAACAATATTTAGTGTATAACAGGTATGGGTTTTATTAGAAGCTCCATAATTGTGGGTGCCTTTCCAAATACATGTAGTTACATTCCCGGTGTAAGAGGAATAAAAGTCCTAGAGATAGAAGTCCGGGGTCTCATATGATTAGTACAGGTTATAGGGTTAATTGGAGTATTGGGGTTAGCACGGTATATGGGACGAATGTCACCTGTACAAAGCAATGGGAAGCGGACCACGGTTCCTAGCGGACTTCCATTCCTGTTCATTCACCGGCACGGAGAGCATTCCTGTTTTTCCCACAGTGATCTACTGGAAAACATGTTGTCTCCAGGTATCGTCAGTCATTCATATTTCAGAGGTGTTGTGATGGATAATTGTTCATCTTCACGCCATGGCTGGTCGCGCCATCATGTATCTTGCTTCAGGTGTGCGTGATCGTTTATGTATTGGCATTCTTTTCCCCCATTTAAATGCATCTTGGTGCCATTAGATTTTTTTCACGTGGATATGATGGTCTGTATTTTGTCTGACACTTTCATTCTTTGAAGTGGCATCCATAAAAACCATGCAAACTGGAACTGACAGAGCCAAATGATTAGGTAATATGTGTTATGGAAGGATTTTTTGATCGTTTTCAGTTTGATATTTCAAATAATTACATGATTGACTGTAAATATATATATCCCCACTCCCCATTGTGTCAACGTCTGCTAGCTACTGTTGCGCATATTACTTTACGCTAGAGGTTTGATCCGTTTCTTCCTTTGGGTTATCCTTCGGAATTTTAAAATAATGTATTCAAAAAATTCCAGAAAGGTCAAGGCGCTGAATCCCATAAATAATCCAAGTTGTCCTCCGATATCGCCTGTAAAAATGGGGAAATCAGTAAGTGTGAAGACATCCTTCAATGATGAATAATATATTGCACCGTTCGCATGAAAGATACGGCTGCAGAAGGTACTTTTTATACGCAAAAGGCGCTTAACATCACTAATATTTTAATTTAACTAAAGCGAATTCCCATTCCCAGGGCTCCCCGCTATTTTTCCCATGAATGCCCCACCCCTTCCCTCAATGAAGTTTGTTCCCTTTCATGCGAAAACAAGTTTCCAGCAAAAAAAATCTTATGCACGTTGTCATGTCAAAGCGTCGGAAGGTAAGGGTAATGACATGACTAGAAAATGTCGCTCCACATTGGACTTAAAACTTACTGAGAAGCCCGGATTCTTCCACAGCTTTCTTTTGCTCCATTGTCTCAAGATTAAGCTCTTCATAATAGATGTCAAGGGCCACGATGTTGTCCCTGATTTTCAAACAAAAAAATGAGCCAATCTGGAATTTTTATTTCATCACCTTCATAGATGGATTGCATTAAAAAAAACTACTGTGCAGTTTGTAATACGAGAAAGCTTTAGAGGCTATTGTGCGTAATAGTAATACTGCGCGATATTATCACGATATATAATATAATATAATATAATATAATATAATATAATATAATATAATATAATATAACATTGTCAGGTTTTTGGTACACGTACAAATAACATATACAAGTATATGTGGATGCACATTGAAAACTACCATACACCACATATGAAACAAATAAAAGAAAGAGACATAGATTGGGTTCCCATACTAGATCAATATAAAAGGATCGATCCATCTCCAAGGGGTTTCTCGTTAGATTGCTTTCAGCTTAAGCGACTTAGATGTCTGGCACGCCTACTGCAGCTGCTAAACGATAATAACGATAGTAGCTTAAGTAGGCGTGGTAGACATCTAAGCCGCTTAAGTTGATTGCAATTTAGCAGAAACCCATTTGGAGATAGATCGATCCACAGTTAGTACGACAGGGTCTGGAAATGGCCCCTTACTTTATGTAGTTGCTACCAGTGGGCAGATTGTATTTCGTAGCAAAAGCCGCTTCTATGTTGTTGTTCGGAATGGTTGTGTAGGAGAGCTGCACGTTGTACTGCGTGCTGTTGCATGGTACCGTACACATGTGACAGTGGTCAGAGAATGCCTGATTGATGGTTTCTGAAACATGCTCAGATATGTGGTGAACATGCCTTATTATATACAGCATACATTTTTACGCTATGATGTTGTAAAAGTGGTGGTTTGTCAAGTAATTTGATGTTTCTACTTTTTTTACCCTTGGACAGGGGCGGATCCAGGATAATCGAAGGGGGGGGGCGGTTTTTAGGAATGACATGCCGCCGATGCAAAGCCAACCGGTGTGGTGTTTAGTGCCCTTAAGCTTCAGTGGGCCCCGAAAATGTTTGGAATTTTAGAGGGCAAGAGGTGCCATTTGGTACGGTTTAGAACTATGATTCAGCTAGTGAAAATTCTAATTTCAAGAGGGGACCATCGGTGTAATTTTTTTTCAGAAATCGAAGTGGGCCCCCTTCCCCTGCCCCCTAAATCCGCCACTGCTTGGATCCAAGTTCTGTGAGACATCTAAAACACAACTGACCTGTACGAATGCCAGTACATGCATGCTATATTATGTGCCAGAATTTTGCCAAATTCTGTACGGTATTACAAATAAAACACAGTCGTGTTTCGCAACTGACTGGATTACCATGAAAATCGTGTTGTCAACATCATATATCAGTGATTTGTATAATTTTTGAACTTGTTGAAAACGACAGAAAAACACAGGGCATCAATAGGTGAATTTTCGGATAGAAACGTGATCTATTTCTCATTATTACCGCCACTGACAACTTATTGTTTGACAAAAAATACTTTTACATTTTTCCCAAGGAGTGTACTTACTCAACAATGGTTTCACACAATACATCATTTCAAGTGGATCACAGACACGGTATGTTCCTGGAAAGAAAAAAGTAGTTTGAAGTTGCCCTGTCAAATTAGTAATCAATTACACATTATTGACATTCGTTGCGCCCACTCAAATCAGACGCTTTTTACCAGTTTGCAGTTGAGACAATTGACTGTGTTGTTGCAAATGTAATTTCAAAGACATCAAAGTCACCAATTAATTTCCATGCTCTGAATTTTATTGTTAGCATGCATTACTTCCTCGTTGCAAAGTAACAGCTGGAGCTGCTTGTATGTAAATCTGGAGGTTAAGATTATATTTCATTAAAAGACAAAAAACATTATGTTCTAGGATAGATTGAGAACCGTAAGTGAGTGTTAAATGAGACAAATTTTCGCAGGGGGCCAGAGAGCTATTTAATTGCCACAGAAACCATGCCGCACTGTAACTCCCCCCCCCCCACCCACCCACCACCACCACCACCACCACCACTACCACCAATACCATTTTTTTGTCTTTTGGTAGTGCTTTAGAAGACATCCTGAATTTGAGAAATTTATACCTTTCTACCACATGTATAAGCATACCTCTTCCGTTTCCAGGAATCTCTATAGCTCTCGGTGTTGTTTAGGGTAAGAATACCGATCCCGATTTACAAATTGTGCCAGATGATTTAAAACGAGGTAGTTTTGATAGTCCATAACCACGGACTATTTTGCAACTTTTCTGATCGATATTTTTCAATCAGTATTGCATGGTGTTTTTCAGCCGCACTAGCCGTCCAAGCATTTGGTTCTAGTGTACATCTACCTGGATCGATATTGGACTGGTTTACACCCACACTCTGTCTCTATCTAGTGTAAACCTTCCTGGATACTGCACTGGTTTACACCCACATTCTGTCTCTATCAAGTGTAAACCTACCTGGATACTGCACTGGTTTACACCCACACTCTGTCTCTATCTAGTGTCGACCTACCTGGATACTGCACTGGTTTGCAGCCACACTCTGTCTCTATCTTTTGGAGCTTACATTCTATGATACACCCCGAAAACGTATACTGGTCAAAGTGGAGGAGCGTTAGTGACTTGTTGCATTTTCCCCACGGAGGTTCTATATTGACAGTCTGAAATATTTATTATTATTTTTATAATTATTATTATTATTCCTGGAAAGGAAATGGAAATTACTTTTTTTTAACTCAGCAAGGATCAGTTTTAGTTAAGGTGGGATATACCATGCTTTCACCAATATTCGTGATTTTTTTTAATTGTCTTTTGTGTCCATATACATGTAATGTCTAAGACAGCGCTATGACCAATAGCCGAAAGAAATCCTGTTTTGACGGCTCCTTCATTTAATCGGAGTAAAAACTCATTAGACAGAAAAATTTTGAACGTTGGGAGAAGAAATGGCCTAGGGACCCTTCCCATACCATATTGAACTGGCAGGATCGATATATTTCCGAGGGGTTTCTCGATAAATTGCATTTTGTTTAACCGTGCACGAAAGTTAATAACCCCCTAGCAGCTTCAATGGGCGTGCCAGACATTTAAGCCGCTTAAACTGAATGCAATTGAGTGAGAATCCCCTTAGAGTTAGATCGATCCTGCTAGTACGACAGGTTTATGGGTACCCAGTCTCAGGCTATAGCTTACCTCCTGTCGTTTCAACGCCCCGAAGGCGTGGAAGCCAGGTGAGGCGCCCAGGCCCTTGGACTCCACCAAAGGCGGCTCCCACTGAGGATGGACCTGGAATATGACCCCTGTTTGCGCGCTACCGTCAGGTAAACTCTCCGTGTACTCGCTCTGTTAATAAATAAAACAAAAGTCGGTTTAATTATGTAAAATATTATTACACTGTTAACTTAATATTGATGTTTCCTTTCGATTTTTTTCAATCCGATCCACTAGTATCCAGATTTAGACTAAAACCTGTTGAATGATGAATTACTTTATTCGTTCTCTCTATTCTCTTGATGCCAAGAAGGTTGCATGCAAAGCTCTGTCTTCGGCTTTCAGCATTTTAGAGACCTCGACTGATTTAACCAAGATGCAGTCGTGAAATTCGAGACTACATCGATTTTAAATCCAATTTAAAGTTCAATCTACATACATAAGTTCAATCTACATACATAAGTTCAATCTACATACATGTACCTTTAATTAAACTTTAACAGTGTACATGAGCTGTGTGAAGGACCCTTAGTTTTTGTTGTAGACTTAATGTACAAAGCGTATTCATAGTACCTACATGGATAGGTTATTCATAAGTAGCACCTGGGTTATAAGGTCTGTGTATTTTGTGTGCTTTTAGATTGTGAATTACCTTTATTTGTTTGTGTTGCTACACATTCACGGAAATAAACTACTACTACTACAGGCCCGTAGCTAGCAATTTCAAAAGGGGGGAGGGTCTTTTTCTGAAAAAGTGGACCTTTTTCAATAAAACCTTTGTGATCAAGATCAAATTTTGCCCAGAATGGACCTTTTCCTGAGAAAAAGGGCGGTTCTTTCGAACCCCCGACCCCCCGGCTACCGGCTACTACTACTACTACTACTACTACTACCAACCTGTTCCACATCAATCGTTAAATGCAAGCCGTTTCCCAGCCCAGGCTGATCCTGATACCGGGACCTGTTGCTGTTCAGAGAGGGGTTGTACGTATAGCAGTTCCCATATGTGGAGAAGGTGTGGATAAAGTCCTTCTTTAAGTTGCACTTTATCCCTTTAAACGTGCATTCCAGGACGGAAATATTGTCCAGTTTCCACCCTTTCTCCAAAGTGAAATTGCCAAAGTCAAATCCGTTTGGGTAACTCGCGGAAATATTCGCCCAGCTCTCGTTAAAGTTACTGTTTGTAGGCTGAGTTGTGGTGCTCGGAGAAGATTCCCCGTCTCCTGAATAGTCATAATAGTAATTGTAGTAATATTGTCCATAGGAGTAACCGCTGTCGTAGCCAGAGTAAACATCCTCTGTCAAACTGATGATGGCGTAGTCTTCAGCATTTAGGTTTCTTCTCATGTACCTGTTGCCAAAAAAATTTTGTTCGTGGGTTCGCGTATATGATTTTATACAACATAATTACTGTGAGGAAGGGATACAATGGTGTAAGACAAACTCTCATTTTTAGAATTTTGACGAGAAATAAAAATATATATTCAACCTTTTTTATTTTATTAGTAATCAGATCATCAAAACTTGGACAACTTATTTAAAAAATAATTTAGTCAAATATATTATTACGAGGAACAATAATACTAAAATTTATGCTCTTTGAATAAAGTAATTTTTCTTTTTTTTTCAATCAACAACTAAATATTGGTGGTAAACAATTTCAATATTTAGCTGTTGATTGGCGAAAAATTACTTTATTCTTATAACACAGCTGATTTAATTCTTCTCTGACTCATGCTGCTCTTTGATATGTAAGTTCTGCACTTACCTGTTAAAATTACAGATAGTCACCGCAGGAAAAGCCATCCTGGGCTCAAAGGTAAGAGTAATCTCCGTAGAAGTATCATATTGAAAATAATTGATAACTCGTAGGGAAATCATCCAGGTCGCCATACCGAGGCCGCCCAAGATGAGCAGAATCCAAGCTGATCGGCGGAAAATACTTTTGGTCTCTGCCGCTCGGGAGAATCCATGCGCTGTTGTACCTGTAGCGAATTCTCTCTCCAGGCTCTCTTCCTCTTCCATGGTTATATCCTACATGAATATGAATTAACAAAAAGGCCTGTGATACGTTTGCAAAGAATTGTAATACACTCACTCTGTTAAATTCTTTATCTACTCCATTTATATCTAAATTATAACGGTCAACACTTATGATGACAAATAACAAGATTACTGGAGACAAAAATCGACAGTAGAAAAATGATAGTTAGCTTTGTGTATTATGTTTGTTTTTAATACCCATTCAGAGAGAGAGAGGCGAGATAAAATTTAAAGAAGTTTCCGGCCACCCCAGCCGCCATACCTGAACGCCAAGTGAAAAAATGTCCTTCTTCATTAAAAGAGATACTTAATGTGCTACCCGTAATTACACGCGTTTGCTTCGCACTAGTGGGTCCATAAATAATGCTGCGTTATCCGTTCGACTGTATTCAGCTGGAATTGTGGATAAACCTCTTTGCCTTTCAGCTGTACAAATACGCGTCTATTAACAGGTATTTCTCGGATCTTGCCTTTGAAACTCTATTTACAAATAGTGTCCACAATGGTAACTACTAGTAAAAACATGGTTACCAATTTTACGGGTGATAATCACGAGGGTTACTAACTTACTTGTCTTAAGCAATGACATACTGATTTGCAGGCCGGTTGCCCGGGGGGAGGAGTTCGAGGGGTTCTTTCGAACCCCCCTTTTGCTGGGAAAAGGTCCACTCTAGGTTAATTTGATCTAGATAAACAAAGTTTTCATGACAAAATGTCTACATTTTCAGTAAAAGAACCCCCTTAAAGAGCGAGAGAGGGAGAGAGATAAAAAAAAATTGTTACTTACAGTCTGATTATTATGTTTATTAAGGGGATTTCAGTTCTGAAAAAACTACACTTCACATGTGTCACGATCGAAGGTTCAAGTTATTATTTCTGCTGCAGTACACGAAAAAGCGAGAGTGTGTGTGTGTGTGTGTGTGTGTGTGTGTGCGCGCGCGCGCGCGCGCCGGCACGTGTGTGTATGTGTGTGTGTGAGAGAGAGAGAGAGAGAGAGAGAGAAGAGTGTGCTACTGGCTACGTCATGGTATTCAAAACACAACAGTAGCTGATCTGTTAATGTCCGAGAAACTGAAAACAAGGCAGTGATAATAATCAGATACAGTGTATATTTCATTAAGAGCAGCCACTATTTCACGTTGAAAGTGCATCTAATGGATCATCAATCTATTAGGCTGAAACATCTATGATGTTTTTTACGAGTTCGTGGTATTGATAGACATGGGGGGAGGAGTTCGAGGGGTTCTTTCGAACCCCCCTTTTGCTGGGAAAAGGTCCACTCTAGGTTAATTTGATCTAGATAAACAAAGTTTTCATGACAAAAGGTCTAAATTTTCAGTAAAAGAACCCCCTTAAAGAGCGAGAGAGAGAGAGAGAGAGAGAGAGAGAGAGCGAGAGAGGGAGAAAGATAAAAAAGTGTTACTTACAGTCTGATTATTATGTTTATTAAGGGGATTTCAGCTCTGAAAAACTACACTTCACATGTGTCAGGATCGAAGGTTCAAGGTATTATTTCTGCTGCAGTACACGAGAAAGCGAGAGTGTGTGTGTGTGTGTGTGTGTGTGTGTGTGTGCGCGCGCGCGCGGGCACGTGTGTGTATATGTGTGTGCGTGTGAGAGAGAGAGAGAGAGAGAAGAGTGTGCTACTGGCTACGTCATGGTATTCAAAACACAACAGTAGCTGATCTGTTAATGTCCGAGAAACTGAAAACAAGGCAGTGATAATAATCAGATACAGTGTATATTTCATTAAGAGCAGCCACTATTTCACGTTGAAAGTGCATCTAATGGATCATCAATCTATTAGGCTGAACATCTATGATGTTTTTTGCGAGTTCGTGGTATTGCAATTACAAGAACGGAAATAACTGTTATACATTGTATATATATTCAAGGTTCACGGAATAAGTAATAATGCAGCAAGACCATTTTTACTCACACGTTGTCCACGGTAGAAGCAGGGGGAAGGAGTACGAGCCCAATCAAATTTTGAAGTCT